AAAACCTCCCTCCCGAACTACACTGGCCTGATTCCTTTATAGCCAAGGATATGTAGGCAACCTCCGAAGCAAGGTTCGGTCTAACTTTTTAAAAATGCCTCCCATGGAGTATCAAGCAAGGAAAAATTATTCATGATTGCTCGCTTTATCTTTGCCCGAAAACTCTTCATGTTTTCGAGCAAATAGGGCAGCTGTGAGCACCTAATTTTTGCCCCACATAAGAAATTACTCCAAAAAAATAATTTTAATTATTTTTATGAATTTTAGGAGATTTTCTTTAATTGGTTTTGCGTCTATTCTCATTGTTTATGCATGTTAGGAATATCGCAAATCATAAAAATCATAAAAATATTCAAATCTTAATTTCATAGCATTTTAGATTTTAAATTGTATTTTTAGGATCTAATTACATTGTTAAATGCATGATTTAAATATCTAAAGTCAAAAATGCATTCTTAGGTTAGTTAATTAATTAGGTCATTAGTCAATCAGCAAGTAAAATATATAAAATAGTTTAGCCACACAAATTGAATTTAATTAAAATTTGAGTCCAAAGTGGCTAATTTTGCAAAACTCAAATAAGAAGGAAAAGAAAGAAAAGGGCTGCTAAGCTAAAATCGGACTGGGCCATTATTTCAAGCCCAATGTCTTGCCAAATATGGCCCAACCCATCTCCAAATCAGCCCAGTTCCTTAATACGCCAAAACGGTGCCGTTTCCCCTTCCCCCATTTTCCCTTAAACGCCAAAACCCCCTCCCTATTTTCTGAGATGGATCCCCCCCCCCCTTTATCAAACCCTAGCCGCCGCCTTCTCCCTCCTCACTCTCTCATCAGCATCTATACACGCATTTTCTCACCCAAACATTCACACTCTCTCATCTCACTCACTCACTCTTTCTTCACTCAAGCACCTTTCTGGAGTGCAAAATTAAATCCCAGATTTGAAAGAATTCCAAAAGGGCTTAACTTAAAACACAAAAGAGAATTGGAAGGATTGGTTCGAATTTCACTGGAATTTGGTGTCGATTTCTCTGATTTTGATGAAGAAACTTTGTTGCTGTTGTTCTTTGCTGGGAGCTTGATTTCATCTTCTAATTTCAGACCTTTGCTTGGCCGTTTAGTGATGTTTTACCGCGTTTACGTATGTAAATATTCATCTACTTTTTACTTCAAATCTATGAATGAAGATCTGTGTTACTCAAACCATATTCCTGATTGATTTCGTTGATGTGTCACTGAATCTTATTATGATTCCATCTATTTTAGTTTGTCGCTCACTTTAGTTTGGCTCGATGTTTTGTTCTGCTTGATTTTCGTGAATTCATCACCGGATTTGCCTTGTCATTTCTATGTTAGTTATTGCATTGGCTAATTGTTCTAACTGATTATTTGAGCTGAAATTAGTCATTGATCATTAGATCCGAATTGTAGGATTTTGAAACCAAATGGTTGTGTCTGTTTCATATGAGCTACATTAAAGAATAAGTAGTCTATTTCTTACTTGTTTAACTCTAATTGGCCATGGATAAATGAATTTTTTTCTGTTAAGCTTTGTATTATCTATGTTAAGTTGGTAAAAATGTTATGTTGAGCATGTTAATTATTGTGTGGTCTTCATCCTATCCATCCGGGTAACTGTTTCCGTTGGATTCCAGCATCGGAATTTCACTTTGTTTGACCTTTGTGTTGACTGATTTATTTCATATCAAAGGAGTTTCTGTATGTTCCAGATTCATAATCTTTTCCTCTTTCTGTTACACTACTAAAACATGAACAAATGAATTGATACTTACTTATAAGTTGTTTTGTTCCTTTGGATAGTTTACTGCAATTATTGGTATCCTATTTTAACTTGTTTATTTTATTTACAACTAGCTTAAGTATGGTTTAGTTGAATTAGTGTGAATAAATCATTTGTGGTAATGGAAAGTAATTAGGCGTGGTTTTCTTTAAGATCCAAACAAAAGGCAAAAATAAAGGTTACGGTGATTTGGATTTAGAATAATATTAAGTTCGAATAACTCTAACGGTTCTCACATTGTTCAAATGAAAATAATTGCTAGATTTTACCAAATAGCTAAAACATACTTCACCTACAATGCATATCCATAATCTATGGCCTTTCACAATAATCTCAAATTTAGGAAAAGATACGACTCATGAACATCGTAGCTTGCTTTAGGCGCGATTAATAAATTATCGGCATGGTCACGTTACGTAAACCCCAATTCGAGTGTGCGTTTCACGTGACTCGACTATAACTTAACATAATAATAATAAAATCAACATATTGTAGATCGCGGGTGCTTTTCACATGACGCGATTCGCAATGTGTACAAAAACAAATGAGTGCACAGTATCGCGACTTGTTCAAATAAATTCCATAAATCCCAAAAGCATTTAAAATTCTATTAAAAGCGGTTATAAAGTTAAAAAATGCACAATAGGTTTAAAACATGTAATAAATCAGATAATTAGGTCAATTATTAATAGTTAAGCGACCGTGCTAAAATCACGGAATTCGGGAGAGCCTCACACCTTCTCACGGGTTAATAGAATCCCTTACCAGGTCTTCTGGTTTTTGCAGACTTTAAACAGAGTAAAATTTCCTCGATTTGGGATTTAAAATAAACCGGTGACTTGGGACACCATAAATTATTTGAAGTGGCTACTCTGAAAAATTAAATAAATAATTCCATTTCGAATAATGTTACTTTAATTGGATAAACTCCCTATCCCCTCAGAAAAAAGGAGGTGTGACACCTGGCTCGAACTTAGGTTGAATAGTAGTTTTCCCTCGATCGGACCCTCGGTTCGGAGTCAATCATGAATGAAGAACAGCAATAAAGTAAGAACTTTGCAGTAGTTAAAAGTGGAAAAAATAAACTTGTATTGCTTTAGTATGCGTGTTACAATGTGTGTTATCAAAGAAAAAACTTCCCATTTATGTAATAGGAGAGTTTCACCCATAATATAAGTCTAAAAAAGATAAAAATCATTCTCTCTCGTTAATTACTGATATGTAATCGCCATCGAGCGAGATCCGCGTCATGATATCCGATTGCGCTCCCACCGTTCATTGCGCTTCTCAAAGTCTCAAAACTCGTCCCGAGTCCGGGGTGTGTCGTTTTATTAGGTCCGATGGCGAGCACTCTACAAAGAATTTCCAGCTTCGATTTCGATCTCATATATTCGTACTCTTACTTCGTTTGATCCACCAGAAAATCGGGTTGTGCGTTAGCCCCGATTTCACCCGTATACAAATTAAAACAAACCTAAATCAAGATTGGATTTTCTTTGATGGGTGCTTGGAACTAACCGAATTGCTCTTAAACAAATGTCCTTTATACATATTTGAAACATATATCTATATTTCTTATATATTACATGTATAATATGTTATATAACTAGTATAATTGGCAAAAGAGTTTTAAATTCTAAAGATATATATCAAGCCCATTGCCGTGAATCTTACTTAACAATAGCGTACGCACTTCCTCAAATAGATTATTGCTTCTACTACATCTACGTAATCTTCGAAATGTATAAATAACTAAGTGATAATAACTTAATCGTTGATTCGTTGTAGATATTGATCCAATGTTCGAATCAATATAAAACCCTTATTTTGTAAATTAGGGACCGATGAATTGCCCAATGAAAATTATGAATTCAGGTTAGCTCGAAATGCATGATTAGGGGTGTGCATTCGATTTATCGATTCGATTTTGACCCTTATCGATAATTACTTATCGATTACCGATTTATACATATGCTTATCGTTATCGTTTCAATAAGGTTTTGATTTTTCGATTTCGATTTATCGATTTTTGGGGCTTATCGATTCGGTTATCGATTACACCAATAAGAAAATTTGCGGAATTCCATGGAAAGTATATCGCTATAAACACGGCTAACTAATATGGACCAAAAGAAGCTAAAATAAGACGAACACCGTTTATAACATAAAAATTGTGTCAACAAGCACATGCAACGAAACTAAAGTAAGGGATCAAATGTATGCCACCAACACTCCAACGGTATAAAAAAAATAAAAATACATCATCACGGCTAATTTTATTTTCCATTAATTTGAACTTCATTCCCTTGAGTTTAAATACGATCATTCCTTAAATGTGGTAGATGAAATAATAGGGTTAGGGACATAGGGTAAAGGAAAGGGTATTATAGAATAAGGGTGGGAAAAAAAATTTTAAAAAATTAATTTTTTTTTTTGTATTTCTTATCGGTTTATCGATAAACCGATAACCGAAGAGGACAAAATCTAAATCGAAATCGATAACACGATAAGGAAAATTTCGAAATCGAAATCGAAATCGATAAATCGATAAACCGATAACAAATAACCGATTAGATTTATCGATAAACCGATTCGAATGCACACTCCTATGCATGATACAAATCATTACTCGAGATTTGAATATATAGTTGTCCCCTCCTCCGTCTCCGAGATAATTTTACTCATCCAATTAAAAATATTATTCCATCCGTAAGATGGTGATGTTCAGATTTCAAAAGTCAAACAAGTTTTTCTTTGACTATAATTTTTCAATATGTTTTTTAAATATTTTGAATAGTCAATTATTGTGACTTGCAATAGATTTTATATTTGAATTCATGGTTAAAAATTAAGAAGTTTGACTCTCGAAATTCATACTATGACACATAAATTAGGATAGAGAGAGTATGAGTTTAACTTAACTATTAGGTCACTCAAATGATATTAGAAATAACCTTTCATAAAAGGTGAAATTTATAATTTTGAAGTAAGGCAAAATACCTGCTATAACAAGTAAATATGATATTACAGTGCAAATTTTTCACACTGTACATCATGAATATAGCTCAAAATAAAACATAAGTATAAAATATGATTTAAATAAAAAACAAATTCCATATATCTACGCAGCAAATCAAGCATATGATGCAAGCCTTTAGGTTCTATAAGTTTAAAGAAAAGACCACTATCCATTGAACAAAGAGTCATAATTAATCTCTACAAAATGAAGGACATGTCTCTCCGGAAACGCTACGTTCCTTTCCCTAATAACCGCAAATTAGTCCCAAAACGTTGCACCATTTTCATTATCAAGAGCTTTCTAATTGCCATCTGCTTAGTGGCTTCCATTTATCTAATCTCCAATGTTCATCTCTTCAACAAATATGCTAGTAGTGCTGCTGGGGTTACAAACAAACTAGCAGTAGAAAATATCAGCAAAGAAGAAGAAAAAACGAACATATCCCACATTCTGTTTGGCATTGGAGGGTCATCTAAAACATGGAACAATCGCTCGCGTTACTCTGAGCTCTGGTGGAGACCAAATGTAACGCGAGGGTTCGTATGGCTCGATGAAAATCCCCAAGAAAACGAGCCATGGCCGGAGACATTCCCACCGTATAGGGTTTCCGAAGACACTTCCACATTCAAATATACATGTTGGTTTGGTGACAGGTCAGCTGTGAGGATTGCGAGGATTTTAAAAGAGAGTTTTGAAATAGGTTTAAGCAATGTGAGGTGGTTCGTAATGGGAGATGATGATACTGTGTTTTTTACAGAGAATTTAGTGACAGTTTTGGCTAAATATGATCACAACCAAATGTATTACATTGGTGGGATTTCCGAAAGCGTGGAGATAAACGTATTAAGTTCATACAGTCAGGCATTCGGTGGTGGCGGCATTGCTATTAGCTATCCTCTCGCGGAGGAGCTAGTGAAGATTTTAGATGGTTGCATTAATCGCTACCATTACCTGTACGCTTCTGATCAGAAGATTGCTAGTTGTGTGACTGAGATTGGTGTTTCTCTCACGAAAGAACCCGGTTTTCATCAGGTATACAATCTTTAAAATCTTAAATTTTACTTAAAGTAGTATAGTAACATTATAAGGGCAATTTACCAACTATATTCTCTGTGTGTCATGTTATAGAGCTTTTGTCACATCTATATGATACCATTATTATTGGGAGAGTACTCAAACAATTTATTTTATTACTCTATAATTTTAACGAATATCTTAGGTATTTTTAATTCTAAAATAATTTGATTTATAGTAGTTTTACACATATATAGTTATCAAATACTTCATTTATCCCTTTTTATGTGACATACCTTTTTTTATTTGTCCAAGACAATAATATATTTTTATATTTTAAGACATTATTATACTTTAAACTTCTTATTTTACCATTTTACATGTGTTTGTTTTAAGATGGATATACAAGGAAGTCCAGGAGGGCTTTTGGCAGCACATCCTGTGGCGCCACTGGTCTCACTGCACCATTTGGATGTGTACTTATTACATCCTCTGATTCCATCAATGAGTCGACTTGAGTCAGTGAAGAAGGTAATTGAGGCTTACAATAAGGATCCAAGTCGGACGATGCAACATAGTTTGTGCTATGACCTAAAGAGAAACTGGTCATTATCAGTGTCGTGGGGATACTCTGTTCAATTATATCCATGGCTGATGAATGCGAGAGAATTGGAGATGCCAATGCAAACGTTTAAGACGTGGAAAGGGTCTAAAGGACCATTCACATTCAGTACACAGCCAAACAATGTAGAACCATGCAAAAGACCTATAGAGTACTACTTGGATCAAGTTGTTGACCTTCAAAATGATGAAACCTTGACCAGTTATAGTACCATTGCTGGTATTAACAAGCAATGCGAGAACCAAAATTACAAACCAGCATTAGCAGTCCATATGGTTAATGTCACAACTACTATTCTACCTCCCAAAGTTTGGAGTCAGGTAAACTTCTACCATTTGTAATTTTTATATAAATCATATTTGACTAGGGTACAAACAACAATGACCCAGTATAGTCCCACAAGTGGGGTCTGGGGAGGATAGTGTGTACGCAGAACTTACCTCTACCTCGATAGGGTAGAGAGGCTGTTTCCGATAGACTTGACTAGGGTGCAAAGTTACAAAAAAATAAAGAATTTTCAAACTTGTGATCCTAGACATTTTATGTTAACGGTAAATTGATCAGTCCACATAAAATAATACAGTACATAGGACAGATTAATTTATTTATTTCGATAAAATCTTTCTTATTAGTTTTACTGTCATAAGATTGATGACTATACATGTACAAAACTTTCCACTTAAAATATATGGACCAATAATTTTGGTTTATGAAATATCTAATTATGGTGAATCCATTTTTTAAAAGAACAGGCACCACGACGACAATGTTGCGACGTAATCAATGATGAAGATGGTATTAGGAGCAACTTACATATCAGAATTAGGGGTTGCAATAGGGGGGAAATGATAACTCCGCCCTTCTATGACAAATACGGAGAGTTTGCCTATTTTCAGAGATTTGTTCGATGAATGAAGGAGAAAAATTTCAATGGTTATCTGGGAGAGAAAATTGAAAATTTTCAGTGGTTATTTTGAATTTTGATATGTTCTCTATCTTCATTTGTTGATGGATATGTATGACACTTCTCCATAATATCATTCTATGGTACCGATTGATCTATGTAGAGGCGCATGGATATTTAAGTGCACCATGCTTCCGTTTCAAGACCGTGTATAATGATTAGTAATATTATATCTCTTCAAAATATACTTAAATATATATGCATAACGCACATATCCAAGTTCAGAGAGTTATATGATGGAATGGTTTTTCGATGCATATTTATACGTGAGTTTGGACGTTCAATTCGTCGCTTCTTGCATTTTAATTAAGTCATTTTTCTTTATATCTTCCTTTTTTTTAAGCATGAAAAGGTACTTATATTATAACATAGGTAGGCTAATGCCCGTGAACATTGTCATTAGTACATATGCCGTTATAACCTAATATTATGCCTTGTAAGGCACTATCATTTCCTAAAGCAGCCATACGACAAAATTGGTCTCTAAAACGGTATCTAGCATATACATACCCAACCTGATATATCTTTATATCTTCCGTTCACATGGTTTTTCCTTCCTTTTCTAGAATTGGTCCTATCCATCCCCATGTATCATGTCCCTTCTTCCATTTTAATTAAGTACTTTTTTTTTTCTTTCTTTCTTTCTTTCTTTAGTTTATTTTTTCAAAATTCTAAAGTCTACCACATTAATTAAAATCCTTTCTCTTTTCGTCACCGCAAAATTCTATAAAATTAAATCAAATGTCAATATTGAACAATTGTTTTTCAAAAAAAATTAATTATTATTTAAATTGATAATTTCGAAAGTGTAGTGGATTCAAGTATGAACCTAGCTAAAGATTGTACCCGTTAAATTTAAAATCTAAATCCGCTTCTTTAATCTTCATGATAGTGCAATCATCTTCTTAAATTTCTAAGTTCGCCCTTTCTTGTGGTCTAACTAAAACCAATTCAGCCTATAACTATTGAAAATCCCAACGGTCGTTTGAAAACCCCAACGCTGTGATATTTGCTTTCACGTTCATGTATACTTGCCACATGTGCCACTAATTCTGAAGAGATCAAAGGTCCACTATGGTTAGTCCGAACTCATCTGTTTTTGTATTTGGACCTTATTTTGGACCCTAGGATGTCAAGAGTAGCAAACCCGGGAGCTCCACAAATTAATGCGCAACTCTAAAAAGATTTTTTTCACTTTTAGTCCGCGCCAGAAACTATTTACATTTGGTAGCCGAAAAAATGTATAAAATGTATATAAATTTTTATATATTACATACAAAATGTGTATATATATACAAAACATATACAATTTGTTGGCTAATATTTTGAGAGCGGCTATATAGTGTCCTTTTCCCACTTTAAAATACCAACAGTGCCATGAGCTTGAAATCACATTATTTTGGATTAGTGACACTCAATTTTAAGTCCAAGAGTAGAATCAGCAGCTCACCTCACGTTTTAGGAACCAAATGAGGAATCATAAGTAGACGGACCTGAGCATTCTCCTGCTCTACCGAGCCCTCTGGAGCTACTTCAAAAATTAATTAAATTGACTCTTGAGAAAGTAAAAAATGTTATATAAATTGGGATTATGTGACAGAGAAAATATTATTTAAATAGATTTATTTTATGAGTGTTACTATTGGTTAGCTATCAGGGAGTTCAACTTCCTCCCTCAAATAGTCATTGAAACTTTCTATGGCCGAGTACATTCATCAAACCGGTCGATAAAAGTTGGCAAACTCTCCGTACTTGTGAGGAAGGCGGTATTACTGATTCCCATTGATTGTAACCTCTGATTCTGACGCTTCGAATATCATTTTCGCCGTTGACTGCCTCGCAGCATTGCCGTTGTGGTGCCTGTTTTTCATAAAAGTAATACCAAAAATGGTCTATGAATTTAAAGGGGAGAGTTTGTACATACTTATCAATCTTATGTTAGTAAAATGAATACTTTATCTGTTTCAACTTATGAAACGATGTTACCATTCGAGCAGTCAAATGATTCCTTTGACTACAATTTTCTTAAATGTTTCTCAAGTATTTTGAATTATTAACTATCATGACATATTTCTCCCATTTTAGGTTATGTGACATTATTTTTCTATATATTAGTGCATGACAAAAACAAGATGACATATTTTAATACTTGGAAATAATTAATTTTTAACTTTTCATGTTACTTCTAGTGAGAAGCTTTTTAGGGACAAACAAATATTACGTCATATTTAAGACCACCAGTTTCAAGAGTTTTATAGTCACAAAAATATTACGACATATTTAAAATCACAAGTTTTAAAAGTCTTCCTTACTTTCTTAACTCTGTAGCGACTTAAACTATGTCACATAACTAAAGGGAGAGAGTAGTACTCTTTATGTAATTTTCATAGAAGTTATGTCCAAATTAACCGTGATTACGTAATAGTTTCACACTATAATCCCAACCGGCAGACCCTGCGGTTTCGTAAAATAAATGTAGAATTTTACCTGTTTCCATACTTGGGGAGATAGAATAGCGGTCGTGACATGAACCATATGAACTGCTAATGCTGGTATATAATGATGGTTTTTGCATTGCTTGTTAATATCATCAATCGTATTATAACACGGTCCAGTAGGTTTCACCATTGGGAAGGTCAACAACTTGATCCAAGTAGTACTGTATGGTCCTTTAGTCCCTACCCATGTGTTGAACGACTGCACTGGCATCCCCAAATCCTTGGCATTCATCAGCCATAGATATAATTGAACTGAGTATCCCCATGACATTGACACTGAACAATTTCTCTTTAGGTCATAACACAAACTATGTTGCAACGTTCGACTCGGGTCCTTGTTGTAAGCCTCAATTACTTTCTTCACTGACTCAAATCGACTCATTGATGGAATCAGAGGATGTATCATGTACATATCCAGATGGTGCAATGAGACCAGCGGCGCCACAGGATGTTGTATTGGGAAAAAATTGAATTTAAATATTGAAGGTGACGTGTCATGACACGTGGACCGGTCAAATAGTCAAAACGTGGTAATCAGTTAGAAGACACGAGCAACAATAGACGCGGGAGAGAAGATACTTAAAGGCACGAACTATTATTCAAATGAAACGAGACTCGTATCTGTTCGAGTCATTTAAAGTTCAAAGATCAGAAGGAATTGGAGACATGAATCTGATAGCGAAAAAGAGTCCAAATTCAGCATTAAATGCCAAATACGTTAGAGAATTTGTATTTAATATGAATGATTGAGTAGCGTTTCCTTCAATATCATTTATTGCTCGTAATTGCCTCATTAAAGCAAAGGCATTACACTTTCTCTTAAAAATTAACTATAAAAAGAGGAAGTCACAACATCTGTAGGACACATGAAAAACACGACTGGAATATACTTTGTTTTATTTGCTTTCTGATTATATCATTCAAAATCTCTTTCTTATACACTTTTCCAATTGTCAGTAACCCGAGTTCTTCTAAATTCAAACTTTGACCTAAAACCTAATTTTTGGTTAAACAAATTGGTTCCTTTACCGGGAATCTGATAATCAAGCATATCTCAATCTAGTTTTCTTGATTGCATCAATCATGTCAAACAACAATGACAACACTCAAGGAAACCCAGAAATTCAGACAATCCAACAACTTCAGGGAGATTCCCCACAAGGTTCTCCACAAGGTTCTCCACGAGGCTCCCCACGACGGTCCCATGAAGGCACTCCTGTTGGATCTTACACAGATGGTCAGGCTCAATTCGAAAATGTTGAAACCATGAATGAGGCTCTGCAAAAACTTATTGCCTCTTAAGTCAATAACGCTCTTCAAGCTTTTGTTCGCCAATTACCTGCTGTCCCACCCACGTCTTCTCCAAACAACAACACTTTGGAGAATCCTCGTTCAGGATTGGTTAATTCAGGCAGCGGTGGAACCCCTAGTGAAACATAAGAGAGAGACCCAGGTAATCCAGTTAACTCTGATTTACAAAATCTAGTACTAACCTTGCAGAAACAGCTTAAGGAGCAAAATGAACGCATAGAGCAAATACCTGGAGTACCGCCCGTGATCAAGGGAGTGGATATAGATAAATATTCCCAACAACCATGGAAGCCAAGTGCTGCTCCCCTCCCAATTCCAAAGAAGTTTAAGATGCCTGATATTCCAAAGTATGATGGTACATCAGACCCACGAGATCATGTTACTGCATTCACAACAGGTGTCAAGGGCAATGATTTGACTAAGCAAGAAATTGAGTCGGTCTTGGTCAAAAAATTCGGTGAAACACTCACTAAAGGAGCCTTAACATGGTATTCTCTTTTACCTGAAAATTCTATAAATTCGTTTGCTGAGCTTGCAGATTTATTTATCAAAGCACACTCGGGAGCTCAAAAAATTGAAAAACGAATGGAAGATATCTTCAAAATCAAGCAAGGAGACTCAGAGTTGCTTAGAGAGTTCGTAGATAGATTTCAACGGGAAAGAATGACGCTGCCACGAGTACCTGATAATTGGGCAGCCATAGCCTTTGCCAGTAATTTGAATGAGAAGAGTTCAGAAGCCACGAGGCGACTCAAGGAAAGCCTTTGAGAATTCCCAGCAACAACGTGGAATGATGTCTACAACAGATACAGCACAAAGATAAGGATTGAAGAAGACATTATTTTACGACACAAAACAGAAGAAAAGGTAAGTTCAAGGCGTGTGGAAAATGAAAATAGATCCGGTAAAAATAGGTACGAGCCATACATGGGTCCTGCGGGAAAGGACTCACGGTCAAGACAAGATAATAAATGGTACGATCACAAACCTAGGAACAGGGAATCAGGCTCCTCATCAAGGTTCGGGAATGATCGAAACACACGCGGGTCACGAGACGATGATGGAAGTCTAAAGGCAAGGTTCGGTGGTTACAACTTCAACGTAAGTACCTCCGAACTCGTGGCTGTTTTAAGAGGCATGGGAGATAAGGTACGATGGCCAAAGGAAATGCGATCAAACCCAAACAGACGAAACCCTGATCATTGGTGCGAATTTCATAACGATCATGGGCATAAAACAGCAGGCTGCAGGTTTCTACAAGGTGAAGTTGATCATTTGTTAAAACAAGG